CCTGATGCTCTTCTGATGAATCTGTTTATTACTGGGGCTGCTGAAAAAATATATTAACATGTTAAATTACATCATAGTGTAAATCTTACAGTAACAAGAAAGAGTTGAGTTAATGCTCTGTTTTCTACACCTCCAATAGCACACATGTAGAGAATACCCAGTCCTGTGCTCATTTAAGAGCCACATTCATTTGGGTAAGGACAGTTGCTTTGGGGTGTTTTGCCTCTTTGAATCAAAATCAAATGGGGAAAAAAACGTAAAACATTAAAAAAGGTGCTGAGCTCCAACACAATATATCAATATGATATAAACATTAGATAGGAGGTCTCAGCCATTAATAGTATAGCAGCCAGTATTGTCCATTGAGGTTTACCTGACACTGGAGTTGCACTGTCATGACCCCAAACTACCACAAGTTAGTTTAATGACTAAACATACTGCCTTTATGTAACCACTGCAGCCAGCCTTGCAGACCACAGTACTCATTGGGATGCTGTGTTAGAGCTCTGGGTTGCTATGCTATGCACCTTTAGGCAGTCCACATGATCACAGTTAGGAAGCACAGGTTGATCTAGGGCAGTCAATGTCACATTTTCTATTGCTTGCACCATAACACGTTTTATCGTTAGGTTTAATATTTTAATACACAATAAACACAGGCCCATCAGGCCTGCACCTGAAATTTAAAATACTTAAATTACTTAGAGTACAAAAGGGTCCCTTGTTTTGCAGCTCCTGTTTTTAACGCGGTCCTTAATCGCAAAAAAAAAAAAATGTCTGCATGGATGAAGCGCAAGACGCGTTCATTGACCAGCATTCAGCCTCCATTGACCATATATGGCGAATGACTGCGCTCAATGGGTTTCTGTCCCAAAGCCCAGAAGCCGTGCACACAGCGACACATGCTCACAATTCAAATTACATTAAGGTCATCCGCATTCACATCCAATACCTTCCTGACATATAGGATAGTAAATCTGTTATTTTACCTAAGAATCCGTCGTCATCGTCGTCGTCGTCCTCCTCCCCGTTTTCCGAATCGATCTGCATGGCTTCGTCAATGAAATTGACCGCTTTTCCAGGTCTCGGGGCCGAATTTTGGTCATTTCCAAATGAGGCCTCTTTGGTCTCACGGTCCTTCAGCTGGGTGAAGTACTGTAATGCAAACTCTAGCAAATCCCTGGGCTGATTCCTCAACACTTCCACGGTAAAGCTCTGTAACAGCTCCGTCAGTCCTTCAGGAATTTCTATACTCATTCCTGTTATCAGTCTATGAATGTGGACAAAACCGGTTTGCTATGAATTTGAAATATTCAAAAGCACAGATGAGACAAAGAAAACCCCCCAAATTAGCAGACGGGTCTAGTCAGGGCACCCAGTCAGCAAGCCATCTACAGCCGATCCTCTTTTTCTTAAATGAAAATGGCTCTGGATTTTTGGTCCAAGCATCTTCTGTTGCTTCTGGCTACAGGAAACCCACGCATGTGACCCAGGAATCCATGGCAACCATCTATCGAGGGATTGCGTATGAGAAGAAACTGCAGTCAGTCGCAAAGTACAAATCATGGCAGAGATACTGGCTGCAGCCTATAGTCAGTGATCGATTTCCACAGAGAAATGTGCCCGTCTGTTTTCCACTAGCACTTCTTTTGTGACCATATAGATTTTGTTTATTCACACAAACCTACAGTAAATTTCACTTTAAAATAGTTCATCATATAATAAAAATGGGCACATATAGGAGTTTAGACACCCTTAAAGTTTCTCTCCTAGAATAATTAATACATTTGATGCATATTTTAACTTAATGGGACCATTCAGAACATTATGATGTCTGCAGGAGTCACATACTGTCACAAAGTTTCATTACAGAATGAAACATTCAGTAACAAAAATACGTTTTGGTCTGAAACTAAAAAGGTGATAATCAACACTCAACCTGACCCCTTTACATGAAACCGCTAAACTAGCCCTTTACGTTTACTCACAAAAGAAAAAAGTCAAATTTACAGGTAGACAAACATAAGTCCTAGAAAACTAGTAACGCCCCGTCTCCTCAGCTTTGTTTGTGTAGTTCTCAGGTTACTCAACCCACCTTTATAAACAGTACATCACATGTATGTTATGGAACTGTTGATCCAAAGTGCTTTACGGAGCAAGGAGGGATAGAACAAAAGACAGGAAGGGACGACACAAGATAAAATAAAAGATATGTTCATAACGGTGTACACAGAGACAAATCAAATTTAATGTCAGCAGAAATACTGGAACATGTTAGGTGAGCTACATGTAAAGGCAAGTTTCAAAGGCATCAGTGTATGGAAGGAGGAATAGAAAATCCAGAAATCTGTAGTTCTGGGCAGCAAAAAAATCCTGTCAAACAAAACCAGGGCAAGGGGGGTCATACTGTTAAAAAAAAAAAAAAAAAAAAAACTGACAAGACTGCAAAGTGTGCAACAACCCTCTTGTTGTGTGCCATAACACAGGGATCATCGTATTGTGGTGTGTACAGTGTGTGCAAAGAGATGAAGGAACAATTCAATAGGGAATTTAAAAAAAATAAAAAAAAACCCACAGAGTACAGCTACTGTACATCTGCCACGGTTATCAGTTCTGTGCCGATATCTCTCCCCCAGCTGAGGCACACATCTGTCACCCTTTACTAGGAAGGCACATTTTCTCATTCAGGTGAAAATACAGTGACCTGTGATGCAACACGTTTTCAAAACTCACCATTCAGGACTGCAGGGTTCCACTGTGAGCTGTACATCTGTACATCCATCTTTACATCCCTACCACTTACTCCTGAATAGGGCCTGGGGGGGGGGCAGGGTCCACCCTGGACAGGTCGCCAGTGTGTCACAGGGCTGAGCTGTACATCATAGGGATTTTATTTGGATGCGTATAGTGCAAACCCATCCTGGTATCCATTGTAAGAAGACTTCAGAGACAGTTGCTAGCAGAGATTTAAACCAGTATTGCACCTGGTCCTTCTCTTTGGGATATTAGTGAATTTTGCAGTATTTCTGGAATTCAAAACAATGATTTAGCCTCAAGATTTTTGATCTCCTTACATTGCGTTTAGAAATTCAAAGTGCTACTGTAATTGACACAGTTCTTCAATCATGACATGCAACTGTAGAAGTACAAATGTTACCTCAAGTTTTTTCCCCATCGTTTATCCCTTGTCATTTGTGATTCACACAGCACCACAAGCCGTTGTCACCATTTTAACTTCAATATGACAAAATACTATTTTCCAGTTGTGTATTTTTAAGTGTGTAATTATACCAAACACTGTCGGGTTTTTTTTCCCTCAGGAAACATTTATTCGATCAAGAGACAGGATCGTATCTTTCCATAAACAGGTCAGTTAAATATTAACAAATTTACAGCCATGAGGAATGTAAAAAAAAAGAAAAAGAAACCAAAAAACACTCGCTTTAAAAAACCCCACCCAGGACAATGTGAGCCATGGTGGCACTGGAACAAGACTCAAAATCCCATTTCCAGCTCCACTGTGACATGCTCTTCCATTCAGTGCTTCACAGTTCATCTTTGTCTGTTTTTGTCTGTGGAGGTATAAAATTCAAGTTATGAAGAGCCAGAAGAGTAAATAGCTCAGCATTTGAATTTTTATATCCTTAAAAGGGCACAGCATGTCAAGTGTTCTCACCGTTTCTTCATCATCTTCCTCATCTACACTTTCCTCTTTGTCTTCAGAGTCATCCTCTGCTGGCTCTTCTGCCTCTTCCTCAGGTTCCTCCTCGGGTTCCTCTTCAATCTGTAAAACATTGACAACATTTTTAACATAACGCACCCACAGATTTTCAACCATTAGTGACTTGACATAATCAGGTTATGCAGTATTAATCCTTTGTCATTCTAACTGTACACCAAAGTAGAGGTACACAGCAGAATGAAATTTCACTGCATTGGTTCACAATTAAAAACAAAAATACCCTGAGTAGGCTAAACATAGCAAATTAAAATACCACAGTGCACAGATATTATACATACTACATAAAGAAAGTAGAGCTATGTTCAATGAAAACACCTGCCATGCAAGTGTTTCCACAGCATTACAGTAGCTGACATCGACTTGCCTGTTCATCCACAGGTATGTTCATGCTGAGTCGGAGCATGCGCTCTATCCTGTCTCCATAAGCCTTTGTGTCAGCCAGCTGGTAGCCTGAGCGCAGCGTGGCTGTCTCAAACAGAACCACCGCTAGATCTGATGCAGTCTGGTCCTCAGCGTCATCCTGAAAGACACCAAGTAAAGAAATTATTCAGCTCTCTACAATTATATGGACAAAATCCTGCACTGGAACCAATTAATACATGTTAACGTATTAGAAACGATCAATGTAAATACAGCTACTGCGTTCTCATGTTAGACGTACAACTGTTTTAAAACTGTCAAACTACAATGTTTGATACGAGTGACCAGTTATCACAAATTAAGACATTTTATCTAGGCAGAGTTTGTTTTATGCATTACATAAGAACTCTTCAAAAATATGACTAACATAGTGAAGTGACGGTCAGACTTACGTTAACCCTTTTAAGCATCTGCTTGACGAGGGGATGATTAGGGTTGATTTCTAATGTTTTCTTCTGGCTGGCGTAATAACTGAGGAAGAGACGAACCACCATGTCCGTTCAGTCAACAGGCCACAACACGTTCTACAACTGCATTTATGATAAGATAATGAGAAGAAACCCTGTTGGCTCATCGTTACTCACTTTGTGGAAATGTCTCTTCCTGTCTGGTAGGCCTGTGCCTTCATGATCCTCTCCATGTTTCCTGACCAGCCATACTGACTGGCAACCAGAGCGCAGGGTGACTTGGTTAGCCTCTGAGAGAGGATGGCCTTCTCAATCTGTGGGGAGGGGGAAGCATTGTATTAAATATTCTACAGAACATACATAACCAAGCCACTGCGGTCACTTCTCTGGCTGGTGATCATGTCTCAAGGTCAAACTATGATGAAATATTGACCATCTACCTTGTCCTTGAGGGCCTTGTCCTTCAGCCACGTGGTAAGTGGTTCAAACTCCTTCTCCAGGGCCTCCCTCTTCTCCTTGGACTTATCACTCTCTTCAAACTTAACACCCTCCTTTGCCACATTCTGGAAGCGTTTTCCATCAAACTCAGGCAGCGCCTGGATGCAGTACTCATCCACAGGCTCCGTCAGGTAGATCACCTCATAGCCCTTCTTCAACAGCTTCTCCACAAAGGGAGAAGACTCAGCCTGCAGAAGGAAACCGATGATCAATGCTAGGATCCCTTCTTTGGCTTTACTATACATTTACTGGCCATTTTATTAGGTACACCTGTATGCACTTCAATGAAACACTTCGGCCTTAACATTTATGTTCATGAAACTCCTTTTTGGTGACAGTCAAATGTATAAATTCAATTATTGAGGTCATAGTTAAAAGGTGCTGTTGAACTGGACCAGATTATGTTCAGAAGAGTCTCGATATTTGTCCTCCCCAACTACATACATGAGGGTCAGAACATTTGGAACACCTCTGAATATAATGTAGTCCAGTACAACACCATGATCTCAATAACAAACATAATTGAATACTTGTCATATTTATGACAACACCAAAACCAAAACTGATGAGTGTAATTTAGTCACATCTTCTGTATGGCAATCAACTGTTACTTTTACAACATTCAAACCATCCACTCACCTCCTTCCTGCTAGTACCAGCCATGAAGTAGATTTTGTCCTGCTTCTCCTTCATACGTTCCACATACTGCTCCAGGCTGGCCAGGACTGTTTCGCTGTTTGAGGTCTGGAAGCGCAGGAGCTTGGCCAGTCGTGTCCTGTTGGAGTGATCCTCAATGACACCCAGTTTGATATTGGTTCCAAACTCTTTCCAGAACTTGTCATTGTACTGCTCCTCTGCGATCTTCTTAATCATGTCCAAAGTCTTACGCACAAGCTTCTTGCGGATAACCTGAGTAGGGACAAGGGACTTTGTCATTTTCCATTTTACGGAAGTTTAACAGTTCTTTGCCTTAACAATTTTTATTGATTTTATAACTGCTACTCATATAAATAAGACTTCTTTCTTGTCAGTCTTTTTGCTTCTAGTTTAAAAGGGAAATTGATCAATGCTTTATCATTCAGTTAGTAAAGACCAGGCACATTACCGCTCAATGATAGCTAAAACTACAAAAAGTCACATTTATAAAGAAAACAATGGAAAATAATCGTTACATGTGAAGCTCACCTTGAGCAGTTTGTGCTGCTGCAGAGTCTCTCTGGACACATTCAAGGGAAGATCATCAGAGTCCACCTAGCAAAATGACGTCTCATTAATGACAGTGCAGCCACTACTACTCAAGCAAAAACTGAATAGTCCATTTTAACACATAGTTGGGTCATAACTAAAGTTCGAAATCACTCACCACTCCCTTGATGAAGTTCAGGTACTTGGGCATCATGTCATTGAAGTCGTCTGTGATGAAAACTCTCCTGACAAACAGCTGTGAAAAAAAAAAAAAGACAATTTAGAGCGATCTCAGGGAATTTCTGAATGTCCTGTTAAGCACATAAAGCCATAATGGAAACTTCTTGGGACATGCCTTGATGTAGTCATTCTTCTTTGAGCCATATTCATCAAACAAGCCACGGGGAGCTGAAGTGGGCACAAACAGGATGGACTTGAAGGTAACCTCTCCCTCAGCTGTGAAGTGGATATGGGTCAAAGGGTCATCACTGTCCTGTTGAGGAAGAAAAACAGTTTGAATGAATAAAATTAAACCTAAATGGGAACAATAATCTACACCCATGCCTGACAAAGTAACTGCCTGACAAGGTGCTTACCTTGGAGAATGACTTGTAGAAAGCCTTGTACTCATCCTCCTCAACCTCCTTAGCTGGTCTCTGCCAGATGGGCTTGATGTCATTCATCAGTTCCCAGTCCCATACAGTCTTCTCAACCTACAGACAGACACATTTTCAGATAATTAGGCAAAGTTATTTATGTATTAAAATTACAAAATAAAGCATCAGCTTCCATTTTTCCCCTCACCAATTAAAAATGTTTTGGGGGAGTTCTTCATTATCCAATTTGCGAGACTAAGGAGAGAGGGTGTTATATGCTGTACAGACTGTAAAACCCCTTGAGGCAAATTTGTGAAACTGGGCTACACAAATAAAAATTGACTTTTATCAACTTTCTTCACTCCATCTTTATGTAATTATAATAAATTCCCTGAAGATATCATGGTCTGAATGTTTTAGGAAATAAGTAAAATTTTGGTAAAACTTTCACAGCTTGAGATCTTTAATTCCTGAAAATAATTTTTTGGCAAAAAAAAAGAAAAAAAAAGCTTTTGGTTTGGGGGGGGACAAACATTAAACTGCATGAATTAAAGGTTTTACTACATGACTTGATAAATAAAACACATACTGTAGTAGATAGTGATGATCATATGAGCAACACTGTCCATATTGTGCACCCCTGAAACTACGTCACACCTTCTTTGTCTTTGGCTTGTCTTTGTCCTCATCCTCCTCCTCTTCTACCTCAGCCTCATCTTCAGCAGTCTCTTTCTCTGGTTCCTCTGCATCTTCCTCAATGGGCTCCTCAACCGTCTCAGTCTGGCATGGTGCAAAGAACAAATTATATAATGGTCATTTGTTAATGTCTGTATTTCTCAGTTTCATGTCCGACTCGAGCGGAAGAAAGTGTCTTAAGCAATCACCTTGCTGGCCCAAACGTAAATGGGGAAGTTGATAAACTGAGAATATTTCCTGACGAGGGCCTTGATGGTCTCCAGCTCCAAATAGTCTGAGGCCTCCTCTTTCAGGACCAGTCTGAGGTTAGAAAGAGATGGGGAGGATTTTATTTTATAGTCAATGACCAGAGTAGTAACAAGAAAGAATTCAGCTGAAAAGGTGTTGTAGATTAACACTCTCTCTCTTAACTGCTGGTAGATTCTGATATATGGAAACCTCTCACTATAAATGAATTTGTATTAGTTTTGCTAATAGATGGGTGCAAATATCCATAAGACTAACATCAGTTGTTCATGATGTCAAAAATAAACTAAAACATGGAGGTGACTTTTAATTAAAGTTGCAAAAATCTGGGGATTTTCAAAGTTGAAACCTTCCATGGGAATTAACAGGAATAAACTGGAAGTTTGCAAAATTGCTGATCAGCCTATAACAGGAAACTTTAGTCAAAAAAAAAAAAAAAAAAAAAAAAAAAAAAAAAAAAAAAAAAAAAAGAAAGAAAGAAAATTCTGCATGCAGAATCTTGGTTAAAACAAAACAGATTTAATGCAAATTCAGCTGAGTTTCTACCCTGTGCAGTCCTCAATCACATGCACAGTTACTGCGGGGCTACTGATGTCACACCCCCTGCATGCACCCTGCAGTCCTCAATCACATTTAAGGATCATTTCTAGAGTCCTGCACACTACAACGGGACTACTGAAGCCACGTCACTGCATTTGAGCCCAAGGACTCTATCCAGTAAAGCACATTTGATGATAATACTAGGGTGAATATATTTGGTTGATGGTATTAAACACAATCAAAATGTGTTTTGCATTAAAATTCACCTCAGAAATAAAGTCAAGAAAGTCTTTTTTAAATCTGCATGCATGTCTGCTTATGACCAAAAAAAAAAAATGTTTGTCTACAATACAGTTTGTATAAATGACCCCAAATTTCTAATTAATTCCTATATATTCCTGTCAACTCCCATGGAAGGTTTCCAGATTGGGATATTTCCAAAATTCCCAAGTTTAAATTCCTATGGAAAGCTTCTGGAATTCTTCCAGCCCTTTGCAACCTTACTTTTAATAAGGTTAAAACAAGATGTTAACCCACGTGATGGTGGTTCCTCTGCCCAGTGTGTCCCCACGGGGGTCTTCAATGACAGAGAACTGATTAGAGTCAGACTCCCAGATGTGCTGGGTATCATTGTTGTGCTTTGATGTCACAATGACTCTGTCAGCAACGAGGAAAGCAGAGTAGAAACCAACACCAAACTGGCCAATCAGCTCTGAGGTAGACTGCCCGTCAGACTGCATCTCTGTCATCTTGTTAAGGAACTCGCTGGTGCCAGACTTGGCGATGGTGCCCAAGTTCTTCACCAGCTCCTCTTTGGTCATTCCAATACCAGTGTCAGTGATGTGGAGCATGTTCTTCTCCTTATCAGACTGGCAATGGGAACAATACAGTTTAAAACAAAAACATCTCAACCAACAAAGACTGCAACATACTGCAAACAAACACCCCCCCAATTTTGCTTATACCTTTATTTTGACAGTAAGCTCCTCATTGGCAGCCAATGCATCCTCACTGGTCAGAGACAACAAGCGAATCTTATCCAGAGCATCTGAGGCATTGGAAATCAGCTCCCTAAGGAAGATCTGCAATGGAAACAAACAATTTTACATTTATCCTTTCCTTATGAAGCATAAAAGTAAATGCAAAGAAATCTCACAATGCTGCTGACTGTACATCAAGATGCCATTTATTCCTGCTCACCTCCTTATTCTTATACAGGGAGTTGATAATGAGCTTCATCATACGGTTGACTTCAGCCTGAAAGGCATGTTTCTCTGACTTTTCTCTGAGTTCCTTAATCTGAGCAGCATTCAGCCCATCCAGCTGGATAGCCTCCTCCTCTCTGAGGACATAAAGGTGAGCTCAGGGAGTGCACAACAAATCACAGCTGTCAGCAAAGAACATGCAAGTCTGTTCCCCCCTGCCAGGGAGTAGTCTGCAAATTAACAAGATCCTCTTAATGAGGGATGTGCAGTAAAAACCCAGCAGTGATTTGCCACCATAAACAATTCCAGGGTTGCTCTGAGCATTTGTTTGCACAAGCATGGCCACACTGCCCTTGTGCTGTTAATACAAGGTTTAGTCGTCCTTTCCTGATAGGGACAGCGTCAGTTCGCTTTATGGGAATAATCTGAAAAGATATGACACCTACCTCTGCACCACTTCATCATCTGTTCTGGAGCCATCTCTGCTTTTACCCAAGTCTTCCTCTGCTGTTCCATCGACATCAAGTTCATCCTCTGCCTTTACAGCAGCTACCAAGAGAAGAAGTTGTTACACGAATTTCATTAAGAACGCTGCTCAAACATACAATGAGCGTCACCAAATATGTAATGTGTAACATTAGGTGGCCTTGCATTTTTTAAGAAACAATATGAAGATGCATCTTTGCAAGAACACTTGTTCCCTTTTTATTAGTCAACGTTAGCGCCAGTCAGCTTTAACGATAAGATGCATGTTGTTTCGACAAGAAACTTCTGGAAAGGCAATTAGGAATAACAGATACCGGTGTTGCTCCGAAAAATCAACGAAGCTGTTTATCATTAACGTTAACAATCGAATAAAACCAAGCTCGGACCATACTAATCTATAAAGGCTCCGATCATCATTTTAACAGAGAAAGAACACAATTCGATTAACGCTAGCTAACTGGCTAATGCTGGCTAAAACGCTGGATAATACAAAGTGAGACGGGATAGCAAAGATTTCCGTTACTCACCAAAAGCTAAAAGTATGCAAAGAAGACCAACGACCCAAAGTCGCTTCATTGTTAGTAACAATGAGCCTTCTGATCCTAAGACAAAAGCCGGGAGAACAGAGAACCTAACGGAGCACTACTTCTATAAGAAAGACTGACAAGCCACCTCTTCCATCAGAAGAGCCCACGCTCTTAAACCCGTAAAAACCGACCAATGGCTGCGCACCACGCACAACCTTCGACCAATTACCGCAGCGTGTACGGTACATGCCGTCCAATCACATTCTTCAACATAAGTCAATACCCTAAAATCGTGGCTAGACACCATTGGTCAAGAATAAATTATCAGTACATCACTTCCTAAAATGCATCTCAGAATGTGGAAAAAAAAATCTCAGCCAACACGTTAGTTACACCTTGATTTTCCTATCAATGCCACAGCTATGTTAAACACTGACGCTTAATGACACTGAAGATTATGGCTCTATTGTCATTATTGTTATGTTACAGTTGTTGTTATTATTGTTATGTCATTATGTTACAGTTTCTGCAAACCTACAGACTATATCTGCGTTTGTGCATGATGTACTATTTAGACTATCTGCATTGTCTATGATCCTAAGGCAAAAGCCGGGAGACAAACAGCCTGTTGCCAGTGTTGGGATAGTAATTATATACACTGCTGTGGAAACATAAAGTCAATGAGTAGTATTTCATCTGCATCTCTGCTCTTTTACCATAAGGTGGTACTGTTCAGTTAGTTAACTGAAAATGCAAATGATGGCAAACATCTTATTTATATGTTTTTTTCCCTCGCCACACAATCTAATTAATCTGACACTGTGCATTGCTGGAGTCAGCAATGGATGGATGAATACAAATGTGCACATTATTGTGCTGGGTGTGTAGCGAGAGAGGCAGTGCTGGAAGAAGTATTAAGATTGTTTACTTAAGCAAAAGTAGCAATACCCCATTTTTACACTGTTACAAGTAAAAGTCCTAGATACTAAATATTACTTAAGTAAGTACAAAAGTATTAGCATGAAAATATACATAGAAGTACTAAAAGTAAAAGTAGTCACTACACAGAATGGTACATTTTACATTACATATCATTTACATATCATATTATTTGATTATAATTGCTGATGCATTGCTGTTTTCCTCTCTTTAAAGGTGGAGTTAATTACGGCTGGTTAGTTTGTGAATTCCCCACTAGGGATCAATAAACTCTTATGATTTTACTGTATATTGTGCAGTTAATGTGATTCTGAAAAGTTACTAAAGTTATTCAATAAATGTAATGAAGACGTACGAATGAAGAAGTGGCAGAAAATGAAAATATAGATACCTCAAAATTGTATGTAAGTAGAGTACTTGAGTAAATGTACTTAGTTACCTTAGTTCGCTTCTTGGTATGAGGATGTAAATCTGCTTATAGAGTCACATTGTGGAGACTCGGATGTCTTTATGGAGACAAAAAGTAAGTCCCCAAACACAAACATAAATCACTACATATTAGAGTGATGTCTTGGTTTACGGTTAGGTGTTAGGTTAAGGGTAAGGTAAGGGTTAAACAAGTAGTGGTTATGGTTAAGGTTAGTGTAAGTCTCCAGGAAATAAATGTAAGCCAATGTAATGTCCCCTAAATTAATGGAAACACAACATTTGGGTGTGTGTGTGTGTGTGTGTGTGTGTGTGTGTGTGTGTGTGTGTGTGTGTGTGTGTGTGTGTGAGAGAGAGAGAAAGAGAAAGAGAGAGAGAAGGTGGGCATGCTTTAAAATAAGTGCTTAGGTTGTATTGAGTCTGACTGAACACCATGACTTAGAAATCTATAATTTTGACTTAACATGAGTATTTTTTTTTATTTCTGTCAGAAATAAAAGCTATGCATGGAGGTCTGGAATTCACTAAGAAATATATTATTTAGAAGAAATATCATAACTGTCTTATAGCTGTGTCCTAGAAAGTTTCAATTATGATTTAGCATATCATAATTTTTTACTTAATATATTTATATATGACCTGTACATTACAGGAAATTTTTATAATAATGAATCGTTTTTTGGTTACTACCTGCTAGTAGGAGGAGAATGAACGCCAGACTTATCTGCTTTTGATTCGCTGATTGGCTGCCAAACCGGAAGTTAAGTACTAAGTAACCAATCAGTGGCGCTTTCATTATTTTCAGAGCAGCCTGACAACCGCATGCGCTTGCCTGGGCTTAGAGCTCACTGCGCTCTATACACAGGCTGCCACCCATAGAAAACAGCCATGGCGCCTCTGTCATCGCCTCTTTCGTTTCTTTTGAAACACAGGGACTGTCTGCAGAAGGCGAATACTCTCTGTAATGTCGTACAGGCTTTACACCGCCGGCGACCCGGGGCTCCCTCGTGGAAACGGGATTTCGGTGCGGTATCGCATGGAGTAAGTCCACTATTGTCACAACAGCCCACAGCCAAAAACTACGCATCATCCGTCTGTAGCAGCTCTTCAGACGGTCAGGACATGGCAGAGAGGCTGTGGTCTGTTTACAATGAGAAGAAAAGACAGACTGAAGGTATGAACACCGATAAACCAGCAGAGAAACCATTCATTGATCAAGATAAAGCGCGGCATTACATGATGAACTGTTGCTGGCTTTTGCCCCGGTTATGACTAATGTTTCCAGCGACCTAATGCACCATTTATTCCCACAGCCTCGCATTGGCAGCCTTTCAAACTAACCCAGTCTGCAAATGTCTTGGAAACATCTTTATAGCTTTATAGCTACTATAAGCTAGTAGACCTTTGTTACCCAGATAAATGGGGTGGACAAACAATATTAACCACACCTATAAAATGTAATGGTGTCCAGTCCGGTAAACATAGTGTAATTTATTGTAATAGCCTTGTCATACAACTTTGTGAAGACAAATGTCTACCAATAGCTGGGAATGTATCAGGGAATGGTTGAGAATCAACTCTATGGTGGTTTTATTGCTGCTAATGTGTTCCTATTATTTGGTTCCCTTCTGGACAAGTGTTTTAATTGGGATTTAAAAGGTGCTGGTACCTAAAGCCAGAAGCCAGCATATGCACATTTTGTGCACAGTTTCTAATTTTGCTGTGGAAATTACCAATTTTAATATGAAGTTGCAATTTAATATGGACAGAACTGCAATATCTGCTTGGCTCTTTACAGATGTTTATGGGCACTTGGTTCTGAAGGTGCTGCCAGAATTTTAAGATAACAACTAGACCATTAGTTACAGCCCAGTGGTTACAATGATGACACCATGAATTACCTATACTTATTAGAAAGTGATGACAGGCTACCATGAAATAAGCAGCAGAGGTTGGACAACAATCTAGCGCACAGGTTCATCTTCTCTGAACACCAAATCAAAACCAATGTGTTCACTATAAGGAAACTAAGACAACCCTTTCATAGCAAATGAAACAATACTGCAAAATAACCTCAGATGTTTCTTTTCAGATTTAATCCAAGTCATAACTGCCAACGCAGTCAACCCTGACACCATTTTTGCCAACAATGAGATGAGCCTGCGAGACATAGAGATCTACGGCTTCGACTACGACTACACCCTGGCTTTCTACTCCAGCCACCTCCACACCCTCATCTTCAACATAGCAAGGGACATTCTCATTGCTGATCACAGGGTGTGTCTGCAGTGGTTCTTTAAAACCTGGCACTTCAAGCACAGTTTTGGTCCACACATAACCATTAAGTTTCCATTAAGGAATATACAAACATGTTTAAAAAGGACTACATTTGTGTTGTATCACTGGACATTGTGTCGCTTGCACTAGTGGATTATGGATTAGCCCTGTGGTGTACCCCACTGATGTTTGTTAGCTGTTTAAGGAATGAGCATATCCAATTAACTGTTATGTTATTGTTGTTAATCTCATATCAACGTTTGATTTGTTTGTCCATTAGTATCCAGAGGGTCTACGAACGTATGAGTATATTCCTAATTTTGCAGTGAGAGGACTTCACTATGATGTCCAGAAGGTCTGTTTTTTTCTCAAAACAGTTCTAAAATATTTGCCTATTTTGAAGTAAGTAAGATCATTTTAATGAAAATGTACTTAATCATTTATAACAGGCGCTGCTGATGAAGATAGATGCTTTTCACTACATCCAGTTGGGAACTGTATACAGGTATCTGCACAGTGCACCTACCTCTCACACCAGGGTAGAGCCTGGATTTCCACAGGCCGCATAGTTCTGTCCAAACCCGACCCGTGCCCGAGAGTGTGGCATCCAAACCTGACCTGGACCTGTCAAGCTTATAGTATGTAATGTCCAAACTGGACCCAAACCAGACACAGTCGAATTTGTATGGTGTTTTTCCCCTTATCATTAAATGAACTAGACATTTGAGCACTCCAGCCATCTAGCCTAAAGTTTGACCTTGGCGTCCGAAACTGACCTGGACCCGAACATAATTTCTAAGTTTCTGTCCGAACCCTCATGTACTGACGGGTCCTGTCGGGCTCGGTTTGGGTGTTTATCATCACATGCTATAAATAAAGTACAAGAAATGCTCTTGTTGTCCAGGTTTTTGTGATATTTTTTGTTGCTCCTACAGGGGTCTTCATCCAGTTCCTGATGAGGAAGTAATTGCCATGTATGAAGGTTGTCACGTACCTCTAGAGAACATGAGTGACTTCTATGGCAAGGTGATGACCAGTTCCCTTTAATACTCACCTGTATTAACATAGTATAACTATATAACTCACTGTCTTGCAGAGTTCTCATGGCCACAACATGAAACAGTTTATGGACATATTCTCCCTACCTGAGATGACCCTCCTGTCCTGTGTCAGTGACTTCTTCATGAGGCACAATATCGACTATGAGCCAGTGCATCTCTACAAAGATGTAAAGGTGAACTCTCATCCTACTTTCTTTGTCCAGTGTTTTGGGAAAATCTGATCACATTTTTCAGCAGCACTCTCCTTTTCCCTGATTGTGTCCCTCAAGTGCCAGTGTATATAAAATGTATGCACAGTAGATTAAATCCAGCCACATGTACATACACTGGCCTGCTAGAGATTCAACTTTTAAATTTCATTCATCCTTTTCAAAATATAGTTTGAAGCTTAGTTAAAATGGTTCAGAATGAGTAATGCTGTACACTGGTCTCTGTGAAGGGAACCATTCATCAGCTATAGTGGTGATGGCACACCCAGAGTGGGGAGGCTGTTGAATGTGTCTAAACAATGATCTCTAACTTGTCCTCATGACCACAGTTTTCACTCCTTTTACTAAGTTATTTGGTGAATTTTCAACACGTTTGTGCTCTTCCTGACAATATAACTATAAAATAAAACTGACTCAGAAGATTCAGAGTGACACGAGCGCCAACCAGCTGCCGCGCTGACTCCTGTGTACACAGTATTAGGCAGGTGGTCATAACGCTATGGCTGATCGGTGAAAATGTATTTACAAGTTCATACTGTGATGTGATACTCCAGCCATTCAGCACCATCTTAATTTTAGCTCTGAAAACTGGTGTCTATTTTTAGTCGAGCAAGCCTGCCTCCAGCCATCTGTGTCTGTTCTCTGGTGGCTTTGTTACTTTGGGGGGAAAGGGGTGAGAAAGGGGTGAGAAAGCAGTGCTGCGTTCTCCCATTGAGTTGGGGGCGCTGTTACTCTGGTCCTGTCTGCTGTAGCATTTTTGACAGATCACATCATCATTATATCATATCTTGTCAAGGACACCTCTTTTCTTTTTTTTACTTTTATGTGCATCAAAGTCTTCCACCTCTATTCACTCATTCAGAGATTTCCACAGTGCAGGAAATGAGATGGAAACTTTGTCTCTGTGTCATCAAAGTAACAAAACTCCAGGGTCTGCTCTCTTTGTTTTTCATTTGCATTCAGAGATGCATTTTTCCTAGTGCTTCCAAGTCAGCTGTTTATATATACAGAGCAAGGTGTTGCTGCTGGAGCTGAATGCTAACATTGTGCTTCCTGGCTGAGGGCTGTTTACTTTTCTCTTTACAGGAAGCCATTAGAGATGTTCACGTCAAGGGAATTCTGTATCGAACTGTAGAGGCAGATATTGGTAATGTTCTTTAGATTACTTTCTTTAAACTAATGTAACATAATTTATATGGCCATATCCAAAGTTGTTGGGAAGACCATAAACAATTATTTAGAAATAATGAGGCTGTGATGTACAAACAAAAAGCTTGTTTTATTTGCACACACATTATCACTATCACCCCCCACCCCTACTCTGTTTCTCTGTCTTCCTCTGTTTTCTCATTTTCCAGAGAAATACGTTTGCTACGGCGAGCAAAGCCACGCTGTGCTGAAGAAGCTGTCAGAGCACGGAAAAAAGATGTTTCTCATTACCAACAGCCCTTATGACTTTGTGTAAGTGACAGCAGGGTGTTTGTTGGCATGGTTAATTAAAAACGGCATGTACTGGTATACAAATATTTAAATGCTCCCGCTGTATCAGGGTCCAGCTTCATACAACCTTTTGTTTTTTCCAAAGGGCTTTCAATTTGCAAGCATTTGTAATTTGTTGTAAGTCTTGGACTGTGAGCCTCTTTTGAAGTCAAGGTCAGTTGCACAAAATGACCTGCTATGTGCATCCAACCTCAAATGGCTTCCCAGAACCCAAAGACATTAAGCTTAAAGACAGAAGGCTAATGAAAGGAAAAACCTGAATGCTTGACCTCTATAGTGACGGGAACTGGTGGCGCTCTCGTGCACTGGGGGGCATTGTGCTGCCATGGTCTGTGTTTATTTGTCTCCTTATGGGAAGGTTCTGTTCTGTAGTTCGTTACATTGAGTTATCAAAACAGAACATGCAATGGCCAAATTAAAGATAAGATGTCAGTTTTGTTGAGTTTAATTAAGTCACACAGGCAGTAAAAGATTATGGAGGCGTTGCACTGAACAAAACGGATCAGAAAAGTGCAAAAATATCGCATTACGTATTGTATTACTGTCAACTTTGGACCGCACCTTCAGCTCAAGTGTCACTGTATAGTAATATCCTGAATCTTTGTGCTTCTCAGAAACCGGGGGATGCGATTCATGGTAGGAAAGGACTGGAGGGACCTGTTTGATATCGTTATTGTTCAAGCTGACAAACCTAGTTTCTTCAATGACAGGAGAAAGTAAGTGTGTCCGAGTCTGCAGCTCATGCTTTCTCAAGTCTCTTATAATCTTAACATGCAACAAAAAAGTGCAAGGAAAACATTTTAGGAGAGAGGACTCAAGGAAACACATTATTATCCTATCCTTCATCCGAAGCATCCAGTTACCGACTGATCCTCGCTCATGGCTCCTCCAGCAGCCTCCTCACTCCTCAGAGCTAATATAAGAGACTTAATCTCTTGTCCGGTCGACCGGAATGAGTTCTGGGTCAAACGAGGAACAATCATATAAGAGACATGACAAACACCCCATGTTTCTTTACCCCACGAGGGGCCTCACTACGCCACCCTGCCATCAGTCACCAACAGACCTTGTATGTCATTTATACACAGACTCTACATACAGGGTGTCCGCGGGGTTTTAAAAAGTATTAAAAAGTGATTAATCAAAATTGCCAAATTTAAGGCCATTAAAAAGTGTTTAATTTGGTTTAGAGGTATTATTTTTTAAAAATAGGTATTATTTTTTCAGACTATGGTGTCCTATTCTGATTGAAATTCTATCTGCTAAAATTTGCGCTAGTTCGTTTAAATGTGGGCTTTAGCATATCGGGGCACATAATCAAAGATCCTCGTCTAGTCTCAACTTTGTATGTTTGATGCTGACGTCA